ATGCCTGAAGAAATATTCCTAAAAATCATATACGTGCTCTATTTTTGTCCAACAATCAAATGTTTCTGTGTGTGCAAGCACTTGAGGACAGTATGGCAGACAAAAATTTCATCGCTACAACATTCCAGATATAAATCCAGTTGACACATCCATAAAGGTAATCTAAAGCCATCAAAAGACAATCTGTTTCATCCCAGTGTGATACAAAACGCAGCATATAACCTACTTTGCTGTATCAGCTTGCACTCTTAACACTTTGAAGCCTGGGGGAACAGTAAAGCTGTCCTTGGCTCTCGTCTGCCTGATCATTACTCACGCTGAAAAAGCTCGGCTGAGTCTTTAATATCACCCCTTTTGCATCTCCCCCATCAGATTACCCCATAATGAAAACCTTCAGCGATTTCCAATGATCAACAGCAGACGCTGTCATTCGGCCAGTTTGATTTCATTACTCCACTTTGTCCTCGTGACCCCTGCAGGCCAGACCAGTAGACCCCTGTGCTGGCAAGTGCGAGCGTGTTGATATGAGAAGCAGATGGGGTTCGTGTGAACTGCCAGTAGATAAAAATGCTTGTGTCAAGCGACTGGAAGGGTAGGTGTCTTTTCAGCCTGGTGATAGTGGAGGCAGAGTCACCTGTTTTGGGTTGAAGAACCTGCTTCTCCATTCGAGCCACGATCTGCTGCACCGCTGGGATTTCAAAAGCGGAAGCCCACTCTGTAGCAGGAAAACCCACGGCCATAAATCTCAGCAGATGCGCAAGAAAAAGCAGTTGTGGGGGGTTGACACAAATGCACACATGCACACATGTACCAAGAGGTTCTTCCCTAAAGGTTTGGGCAACATCTGGCGATTGCATGTTTCTGATGAGCGGATAGTGTCTGTAATGGAGGCAGAGGAGGGGGGAATGCTAACGTTTGTTCGTATGTGTGTGTGTGTGTGGGGCCGAGACAGAGGAAGACTCAACCTAAGAGCAGGCTTACTGAAAAGATGACCAAATGAATAACAGAGAAACAGAACAGATATCGTGTTTACCAGAACAGGCCTTGCCTCCCGCTTGGTGGGAGAAATTATGGTCTCAACCGGAATCCATGCATCCATTTGTGCTGCCAGATATTATGTGAAACTGGTGGAGAATCTTTGAGGCCTGCAGGCTCAACTTGTAGAATTTTAAAAGCAGCTAACACGGATGCTATTGAACTCCTAACATAGATCTGAAAGGCTTTAAACAAGATGCGGTTGTCCTTCTGCCAATCTTTCACACATTTTAATAATACTTAAGACCTTCTTTTCTTAATAGACAGTCATCAGACTACTTTAGAGGATTAACTCATGTATTAAGAACAATTATGTCAGAATTACCTCTTATTTTTCAAATTAGATCCACGGTTCTGGTACAGAGAAACCTGTCTTGGCTTGTGTTGTTCATTTAAAAAATGAGACTAATTGTAAAACAGAAGCAACTCTACAGATATTTGTGTCTTTGGTATTTTTAATAGTTTTAGTTTAATGGGTTATATGAATATGTACAGTACAGATAGGCAGTGTTGGGGAGTAACGGAATACATGTACCGCCGTTACGTATTTAAAATACAAAATATGAGTAACTGTATTCCGTTACAG